GAATGGAATTTAGGATAAGGAAAAAAAAAAAATCTACTGAAAATCACAAGAGGGACCAAATATAACTCCAATCATGGAAATCATGGAAGGCGACTTCGTTTGGTAGATTGGGAATCAAAAGAAAAAAAGTTGTGGGAACCACATGATAAATTTATAAAAAATAACAAATAATCTGTAATTATCTTTTCGATTATTATATGCAAAGCTTTGTCCATACCTAGTTTTTGACATAAAAGACTATGAAAGATCGTGTCCCATTTTCAATGAGCTATCAATTTTATGCGATGCGTTAAAGCAGAAAAAAAATAAATAAATCAATCTTTTTGAATGCAACGTTTGATGCTTGAAGTTTTTGAAAAGATTGTTCCAACTATTGGAACAAATGAACGATGGTTGAAGCATAAGCATCAACATTAATATTGCACATTCGAAATAGGTATTTATTGGAAGGTACAAAAATAAAGTAATTTATTGAATTTAAATTTTAATTTAATTAATTTATATAATTATTTTTAAACGATAACATAATAATTTTAAAATTTAAAATTTAAATATCATAATTTGTAATTATTTTTCTTAATCTCGTATGATTTTTTTTTAAATAAAGTAATCTTGCTAAAAAAAAAAAGGTGGAAAGAAAGATCAAACTCTAACTTTATTAAAAGGAATCATAGCATTGATATACGTTACATTTTGCCTTTTACTTGTGACATTTTTAATTTGAATCCAACCTTTTATGATGAGCCTAAAACCTAGGATTTAGGAACCAAAAAGCAGCGAAATGTCTATCAATGAAAGTCGGCCCATATCAAACTTTTTCCAATTTCATTCATGTTATATTATTTTGTTTTTTTTTTTTATTTTTTTTAAAGAGGCTAAGATATTTTATGTCTGCATCAAGAACTAACGCCGACCCATGGCAGCCCACGTAAATTCCATGCACGTTGAGCCCAAAAAAAAAAAAAACCAATCACCAATAATTGAAATAAAATTAATTTCATTTAAAAAAAATAAAAATAGCATATTAAGATAAAATTAAAAGGGTGGAGAACCTTTGTGGATCGATGGGGCGTAAAATATTTAATAATAAATATTTTTATTTAAAATTTTAAATAATTTATTATTATATTAATCTTGAATGCATAAATTTGATTTAAAATTTTATATTTTTATATAATGATGTGATTAATTAAATAAATAATTATCTGTTTTGAAATCAAGAGTGATGACTGAAAATTAAAACGCTGCTGCTTAACATAATTATTGAGCATGAATTTTATATATCATTTATAAAAAAAATTTCATTTTTATAATTTATTTTTGTAAAATTCTAGTAATATGAATCATCAATTTTTTTAAGGGTATTCACTATTTAATAGTAGTACACAGAGAGAGGAAAAAGCAAAAGATGTCAAAAAAGCTACAGCTCACAGCATAGATTTGTGGGGTCCATCCATGTTTGTAGCTCTGGATTTGGTCGTCCCCTGCTGCCCGGCTCTCGCCTCGTCTTGCCCGCTCGCTTCCCCATTAACATCTCGGCTCTTTACCATTTACTGGCAGTAACATTTTCTAATATTACGTTCCATACTAATATAAATAAAATTTATTTTATTTTAATAATAATTGTACTCAAATATATATTTTTAATGGCAATGAATAATGATCATGGGAGTTTGTATTTATTGTTTTTTCTTTTTTAAAATTGAGCTTTTTTTGTTATTTTTTTATTAAAATTTTAAAATTATCGTTCATATAAATGAGATTCATTTTGTAACTATAGATCTCAAATTTGTAAATAAAAAAAATAAATGTATTGAAAATTAGTACTAATGAATAAAATAAAATTAATGTACCCATTTTCTTTAGGCTTTCTACTAATATTTTATTTTGATAATGTGATATTTATGTTCTAATTGTATGAAAGAAAAAAAAATAACAAGAAAAATTCATTTTTGATGGGTCATATGTTCTTTTGTGATTCAATTTAATCTTTAATATTGAATTATCAAGATAAGTATTCTTATCGGTTGCATTATTCCTAATAGAATTAATGATAGTTTTGAATTTGGCCAAAAAGAAAGAAAAATTTTAAAGTCACCCTTATTATTATTATTATGAAAAATAATTTTATTCATTGTCAGTGAAATTTTTAAATTTTACAAATGAAATTTGTAAAAAAAAAAAAAAACTTTTTATTTATTTATTTTTTATCATTTGATAAAATGTATACACTTTATCTCTAGTAATGAATACATGAATTTATCATTGAAGGAGTGATATTTGCTTGATCATTTTGAATGATGGCTACAAACTTTCACCATTGGTCTTATGATCTCAGCCCATGCCCTAATGTTAGGCTAATTTTATCTCAGCCCAACTAGCATAGCATACGCAATACATGCATGATATTGTTAATAAAAAAATATAGGCAAATAATACACATGCTCTCAAATATGGCAAAGAATGAAGAAAATCAAACCACTTAAAAAATTTGCAAAACCTAAGAACAAAAAATAAAGTTAAATCATTTGAAATATGCCATCAATCGTGTAATCTATTGATCGAATATTAAATTTTTAATTTCGTAAATGAATATGATTAGATTTTGAATAATTTAAAATAATAAAGTTAGTTATATGTCATTAAAAATGAATTTTGAATTTTAGCAATCCAAGCAAGTTGAGGGCAGTGCATGTGCTTATAGCTTGACTCCTAAGCAATTCAGTGCATCTAAATCTGCTATATATATAATAATATGCTTTAGGATGTTGGATACATGTAACTTCAGCTTCTGCACCTGTGCAAGGAAGGAAACCCTTTCCTTCTATGACAGAATAATAATTATCACTATCAGAAACTAGAAATTAACCATATTTCAGAACATATTCCTTCATAAGGGGATGATAAAAAGAAACCAATGATTAATTTCCTTCTCTCAGGTCTGTTTGAAGCATGGCTAGCCACAATCCTTTTAAATCCATGCCCTACTTTCAGTTAAAATTTCTTAAATCATGCTTGTTTCCAGGTTTATATCTAGGGTTAATTTTCTTTTGAAACCCTAAATGGGATATGTTGCCTCTTGGTTCAAGTAACCTTTGCTTTCTGATACAGTATACTGTAGTTTTCAGTGACAATAGGTAGGTTCTAAATCAAACAAAAACAATAATTGTGTATTTTTTCCTCATGCTTTTTGACTTGTCAGACAGAAGCATATACTTTGATGTATTGATTCAGGTAGCGGATGTATCCAAGAAACCAGCCCTGGCTTTTGCTGATGGCCAAAGTTGGAACTTAGTGAAGATTAGACTGACATAATTTTGGACAAATTACTGTTTAACAATATGTTATGGTTGCCCTAATCACCATGCACACCGACCCTCGAATGGGTGCACGTCTCTAATTAGACGAAATATGCGCCGCAACTGATGATTAATGAAACTTTCAAACATCTTTTTAGTTCTTGATCCCAACATTGAAAGCGACACTTGAACTTAAGTGTTGTAATCTTAATTAATTCTCTAACAACCAAGATTTCCTTTGTATTAGTATTAGTCAAATATATAGTTATATATATATAGGACAAGTTCAACAAGAAAACGACAATAATGGAGAGTGGAGAGGCAATATAATAGATTGATTAATGTGGAGCCCATTGTGTTTAATTATGTTTAATGTTTAATGACAGCATGGGTGATTGATGTTGAAAGTGTCATTAATAATGATTAATAATAAGAATAATCAAAAGGGGGTGGGGGGTTAGACTAATTCCCTTCTTCTAAACAAGAGGCATATTTACAATGCAAGAGAGACACAAACATATGTAGAATCAAGCATGGTTGACCAGATGTTTCGTTTTTGTGTTTGTGCTTTTGTCTGAACTTTTTTTTTTTTTTTTTCAAAGGGCATTGGGAGGCAAGAAGAGCAAGAAAGCAGACCAACAAAGCCTCGGATCTTTTCTTGATCATGTTTTGGGTGACAGAGTCTCCAACAAAAGAGCAAACTCATTACCATACTTGTGTTAATTCTGCTGTTTGCTGACCAGCCTCATCCTCTAATCATTTCTATCCAGGCTAAAAATGAAAAAAAAAAAGGAAAAAAAGAAAAAACTACTGTGCCCACAACCACAATAATCCAAATGTTTTTCAAGTCAAAATTTTATCCTCTTGACTTTGTTTTTTCTTATTAAAAATTAATAAAATTCGAATTATAATCAATGAAATTTAAAATGTAATACTCTATCAACAAATGACACGACACCTCTCAATTTTATTGCAATAGTGCAAAGTTGTGAGAACACCTAAACTTAAAGGCTAACATAAATTCTATGCCATTCTTCTGGCCAAAATCTTTGCATCATTTCAAAAGTTCCTGAACCTTTAATTAAAAGCCAAAGAAAAGAAGAACCACCCATTGTGAAATGATGTACCAAACATGCAAATGTTTTTAATGTAACAATAAATTTCTGCAAAGAATATGAAGTACTTTAAAAAAAAAGTAAAAAATAATCACTACCCATTTATTTATTTCTCATCCTCTTGTGGGAATACTAGATTTCTCGGCTTTATGAAATTGTTTTTGGATCTTTGAAGTGTATGTAGAGATTCTGATCTTCACAATAGAATATTTAAAGTCTTGATTAAGAATCAATTAATGCAATATTATGCAAAGGGACCACTTTTGAAACACTTACATCAAATCAAGTGCACATAAAATATGGGTTTGTTTAAACTAATCTCTGCAGATTTTCTTCTTACAGAAATTGTTAAATAAATGGAGAACAATGAATATTAAAAAATTTTACTAATTTCTATGTGGGGATGATAATTAAAAAAATTGGAGTAGATTACTTGTTGCATTGACAGAGTGAACAGTTTAAAAAATTTTGTAAAGAACTTTTAAGATCTTGCATAGGCATCAAGATAGATGGTGTGGGACAGAGGGGAATAAATTAAGGTAGTTGGGGGGACAGCTTCTCTGGAAGTCACTAGGGCCAAAAAGAAACACTCCCAACTTTGAAATGTGGAGACGAGTGGGAATATCCTGCTTACATAAGATAAATTATGATTTTAATTCTGAAATGGGGCTCTAGCCCTAATGATCTTTCTCTTTACATGGGATTAGATTTTTTTAATAAAAAGTTTGCAATTCAGAATTGATAAAAAAAATATATATTGTTTTGAATATTGTTTAAAAGATGATTATAAACCTACACAAGTTTTTGCAAAAAAGTATATAATAACAAATAATTTGCTTTTAACTTGAGTCATAGCATATCTTCCAACTTGCACCAAAGGCTGCAAATTCAAACATAAATGGGTTAGGAAATGGGATGAATGGGTTTATAACCTAAACCACAAATTTGTGTGAAGGAAACCATGTATGGGCTACCTCACTTGCTGCACTTTTTTCCAGCAACTTGCAATTTTAATCAGGTTATAGGAAGGCAAGCTTTTGACCAGATCAATGCTCGAAGACTCAACATTTTTGGCCGTTTTCTTTTTAAACTTTGGGGTGAACAGGGCTGAAGCTGATGGGACTCTGTTTTTTCAATTGAATGAAGTAGCAAAAACTTTTGTAAGTGTGAAAATACCATAGCTCAAGAAGGATAATGGAAGAAGAAAATACTTGATCACCGAATATTCTAGGTCTGGGTCCTTTTTGGATTCTCTTCAAGCCTTGTAAATGAAAAGATTACAGAAAATGCCTGGTCCATCACAAAATTTGGTTTTTACTTTCAACGTACAAGTAAATTAAATGTAAGGGAAACTTTTGAGGTGTAATGAAATTGAGAAAATTACTCGTATTCAAGTTCAAGTGTAATATCCATCGATTTCCTGATAAACCCATTACTCCATTTTACAGTCTTTTTTCTTGCACTCATTGATGATTGCTTGCAAGTGGTTCTGACTTTGAATACAGGCCCCTAAGATGACACACGAAACAGTCTTACTAACAATCTGTAATTGCAGAAGAACCTCTTCAACTGTCGTTAAATTTTCAAACGTCCTCAAGTAGCGGAGTTATGAATCAATCAGAGTGCATTTGACATGGAAAACCTTAGACGTTTCACCATCTTCACTCTCTCACCTATCCATACCTACACACGCCAACTCCATCTCCCCATACACTTTTCTCTCAGTTATGTAGCATTCACTTACTAACTTTCAATTTCACTCCCTAGAAATCATATTGTATGCTACTCAGAGAAATTTTCGATGGTAGATAGCCCTCACTCATCTTCTTCAAAGTCCATGAGAAAATCAGTCAAGTTCTCTGAATCGTCGATAGCCTCTTCCAAGGACATTGGGTCCTCCTTTTTTGGCTTAGCCTGCAAAGTCAAGGAAGAATACATAACAAAATTGCCTGAAACAGACCGTAATTAAGTGAGCAAGTAGAATTATAAGTTAGCATTCAAGTTTGAATGGTTGCTTTCATAGCTTTCCAACCTCCAAATTTTCTTCCTTCCACTATTTGATGCTCATTTGAGGTACTCCCCAAAAAAGTAAGAAAGATAAAATCGTGCTAGAAAACTACCAAGCCAGACAAAAAAATGACAACAAAGAAGCACCTTTGACTTTCGAAGCTGAGGAGTACTTTTCAGAACACTCCAATTGCGTGTGATTTTCTCCTCTTCTTCTTCACCATCAACATTACTGTCTTCCTCTTCATCATCCTATAAAGTATTTTTCAAAACAGAAAAATGTCATTCTCAAAACAGCCAAAACTATAGTATGAAGCAACCACTTCCAAGAATGAATAAAATAGTTATAAAAGAGAAGATGAAAGCTAAAGCAGAAAAGACAATTAGACTCACTTCATTTTCACCAATATCAACAGCTTGGGCCATAGCATCATCTATATCTGTCATCTGCAGTAATTACAAGTTATCAGTAACTAATTGAAATTAACACTTCTAGTAATGATTGGTTTGCTTCAACAGTTTTATTCAGCATTAGTAATTCAGCTAAAATCTGAAATAAAAACCAACCAAAGGGAAAGATAAAATAACAACGTCATTGTGTGATATGTGTCAAAAAGTAAATAATTAATACAACGTATATCCTATATACTTCTACCGCATGCCAATTTATTCCCCTTTATCACATTCCAGTATACTTTCATTTCTAAGAAAATTTTAGTTTTCTACTTCAACAGGCAACCAACTTTCTCAAGCTCAATAAAGTAACATAGCTAGGCATTTAAATGGCACAACTTTCTCAAGTTCATGAAGTCTGTACTCATTATAATTACCTCGAGTTCTTCAGTCTTCTTCTCTTTTGCCAAAATTTTCTCAAGCTCCTCCCTTGTTATGAGTTTGCCATGCTGATCAGAGGGAATGTAAGCACTTAATGGAGGCAATAATAATTGGAAAACAAAAATTAAGAACAAGACTTCAAAAATTATCAAGAATTCTAACTCAAACGAACCCATTGAGATGACCCAAGAATTTCGCTATTTCGATTTTTCCAGTCCTTGGGAACAGCGTAGCGACGGATAATTAAAAAGAACAGATCCAGTCAAAAAGCAACATTTGAGTAAAGATGAACTTACACACCCAATGTAAAGAGTCAAGGGAACAGACTTCATGCAATTTTTTTTTTTTTTTTTCAAATAGGACAATACAAGTTAATTATCCTCAATCTCTAACCATCTCAGTCTTGTGCTTGAATCCTCTTTGTATAGATATAGGCTCATAAAAGAAGACTATAATTTGCTGGTCAACTTAGTGCAACAACCATGACTTAATCCCAAATCTAATAACCATCCTAGCTGCAAAAAAACTGTGAAGGTGCCATCTGCTTAAAGAACACTAGTCTACTGCAACATATTTAGGACATCAAAAGTCAAGGTTGTAAATTATGCCAAAAAAATGAGAAATAAATTATAATTATCATTTAATGTGATCAATTTTTCAGGAGAGAAATCATCCAGAGAAACAAGATGCCAAAATGTTTTCTCCTATGAAAAAGAACAGGGAGAGAGATGGAACAAGGAGGATTTCTTCAGCACAAAACTTAAAACACTGCTCTAGTACTATTAATGGCAACAAGACATCAACCATTTGCAGCACTTTCTTTTATGGTCCCACATAGATCCGATCAGAACTACAGCTTAACAAGCTACATGAGCATATTTATAACAATTTGCGCTTGATTTTCAGAAATGCAGAAATTGTTTCATATTTGAATAAATTGACCAATTCTAAAATAAATGAAGCTTTTTAACTAGCTAACTAAACAAAAATCTGTTTATTCAATTTCAGGGAAGAAGAAAAATAACAGATTTAGACTTAGAATATCAACCTCCTTCAGATAGTCCAGCATATTTGGTGTTGGTTCATGAAAATCTGGTCCCCTATAATCAATCACTTCATCTGGATCTTGAATATAGTTCACAGTTGGGTAAACTGGATCTCCACCCCATACTGCTAAGACCAACAGAGTTGTTAAATGCAAGAACTAAATACAAAACAAGAGGATGCAAATCCAATTTTGCCCCAAACTTCTCAATAGTTTTAGCAGGCAGACGGAGCAAATAGGAAAGCAAATCACTAAATCAATATAATTACAACTGCATATACAACAGAACATGTGGTTAACTTAGATGTTGTCAATCCCAGAATATCATGTCTACATGTAGAGTGGAAGAAGCATGAAATTCAAATTTTGACCTCAGTTAGACATGTAATCCAAGATTAAGAGAGCAAGAGAGGAACAGGAAGGAAAAATTCATCTTTAATTCTAGAGCATAAATAGAGTACATATGGGGTCAAAGACTACCTCATATACTAATATCCATCAATATGCATCATAAATCTAATCAGGAAAGTATAATTTTACAGCCTATATAGAGCTGCCACCGTTTCAGAAAGTATAATAACAATAATCAGCCTGACAACAAATAAAAACACAGGCATTAAGAAAAACTAATCAGTATGGAATACATACTTTGCTTTATTTCATTCTCTGTCATTCGCATTGCTAGAGGATCCCTCTTGATACGGACATCAGTCCCCATCATAATCCTATATTCTCGATCTGTTTGATGACAAAACATTTCAATCAATTGAGTATTTTCATCTTCACCAGTCTCTTCAAAATGTTTCTGAATAGTTTCACGTGAAGTGTCTCTCTTCCATGCTTTCACCCATTCTGAGTAGTATGCCATTGGACCAATTCTCTCTAGTCTTTCTTGTTCAGCTTTAAGCCTAACAAAATCAGCTAGTTAAGTATAAAAAAGTTCTTTTTAAAGATATACATTCCAAAGCAAGTTTTTGCCAATAATTAATAAGGTTGCAAGTTTGAGGCAATGCAAAAACCATGTAGAAGCGCAAGCAGAAATGAATCTCAGATATTTATTATTACTCGTTTATTAGCCCATTTCAAACTTTCTTTATGAATAATCATTTTAATATTGAAAATAGGAACTCTTTAAGTATCTATCAGTTCTTGATTAACATAGCTTCCTTCTTTCTGTATAGTGTACCCACTTTTATCCATTTAGCTTCCACACGTCTTATAATTATTCACTTTCAGTTGATTCACATTCCATATCTCCTTATATCCTGTTTCAGTACCTAGACTTGAATAGGAGAGAGAAGGAAAGAGAGAAAGTGAAAGATTCTAAAGCATCAAATATTGGTGGCACCTTTCTTCCTTGAAAAGATGTCGCCTAGCTCTATAAAGGGCAGTTTCAGTTAATGTTGGATGTTCACCATAAATCTTTACTTGCCCAGTCTTAGCCATTGCTTTGAGAAAAACCTACAAAAAATAAGAGACCATCTCATTTGTTAGTATCAGATATAGCAAATTACTGCCTTTCTTTGAAAAACACTAAAATGTGCGTGAGAGCACAATGCATATATTTAATCATGGAATGAGGTACTTTAGGTTTCACCACAAAGCTAAGAAATACCACATGGCTCACTTGCACAAGCATCCGAAAGTAATTTGACTTGTGCGAAATGCAAAGAGATGTGGAACTACCAATGAATGGACTCAAACAAGAACATAACCCAGTTTGAAAGTCAATCCCATCTCCTTTGACCACGTTTCAAGGACATTCAACTCGGTGAACATTGTTGAATAAAATTAGTAAAAATCATCTGGGAATGTGATCTTTGCCAGAGAGATAACTGAGGTGGGACCAATTAATAGATCACAAATTCAATCCTTTGGAAGCAGATTTTTGACTGCATGAAAACACATGGCAACCAATTGTTTCTCTTCCTTCTCCTCCTCAACACAGACTCCCCTAAAAAAGGTTGAAAAATATTCGGACTGCTTGCTAGAGATGGATGCAATGACAATCAAAGAGTATACTTCTTAAAGACAGTTAAAAAAATATTAGCACTCACTGTTTCAACATCAGGTCGTCTCCTTTGCCATCTAGACCATATTTCTTTTTCTGGCTTTCTCCAATTCCACCACAGTTCTTCACTGGTAAGCGGTTCCTCCATTGGCTTCTTCACTATTGGATCAATAAATGGATGAGGACGTCCAAGTTTCTTGTCTAATTCATATCCAGAATCCTCATCTTCTTCAGGTTCTGTCTGGTAAATAACATACTCTGATGAGGAATCTTTAGGATCCTCCACTATGTCCTCACCAATTTTAGGTTCCATGTGATCACTTGGTTCAATGCTCACTTGAGAAGATTCAGAAGCAGCTGATGTTTTATACTTCTTCCTCCTACTCCCTGGACTTTTTCCATAAGACGGAGATCCCGTCGAAGTTCCAGTTGGTTCAGGAGCCCTGGCAGCCCTAACTTGACTAGCAGTGCCTTCAGGCCAGTACTCCTCTCCTGGAATACTTGCACGAGCACCAGATGCTGGTTCAAGCTCCCCAGATGTCGAGTCCAAATAGATATAATAAGGAGGACGCTCAACATACACATGTTCAACAGGTTCCTCTTTCTTCTCACACTTAATACAAGGAAATAAATTAGCCCTCTTCAACAGTTTATTCAAGCCAACTCTAACTTGTAATATTCCAGCCGGCAAAGAACCTACAAATGGTGTCTGGATAATTCACAAAAAAGGACAATAGTAAATGAAGCTAAACGGAAACAAAATGAAGCAATCTTCATCGAAACAAAAAAGGCAAAATTTTTGAACATTTTACTTCTAAACATTTACTAAATTATGCAGACAAAAAACCTCAGAAAACATCAAGTTAAACAAATGATCCAGTTTAAGGGCTGTTTTGCAATAATGTGAACAAAATTATAATATTTTCCCATCATAAACAAATAAAGAAATAAATTAAACAGAAAAAAGCTCAAAGTTATTCTGGGCTCAACAACCAAACACATGATTAAAGCAAATTGCCAACCACATTTATTAGTCATTTGAAAGAAGAAATAATTTATTTTGACTGAAAAGGAGACTAATTCTATCATAATTACACGCTTAAAACTCATAACAAACAAAATAAATATGATAAAATTTCCACACACACAAAAGAAAAACCTGTAAGTGATTGTAGCCTGGTTTCCCAGCAGGTACGCGTCTATCTGCGAAAGTCCAAACAAAAAAAAAAAGAAATTTAATTAAATATAAAAGCATTCTTATATTTTTAACGAAGAGAAGAAAAAAAGCACCTTGATACAAAAAATTTACTGATAAAGATGACATTTTCAGTTAAACGTAATATTCGGCCTACAAAATCTGCAAGGAAAATTATTATAATTTCTAACAAGAGAGAAATTTAATCTGTTTGGGCGCCGAGAAAATGAAGCAGCATCGTGAGAGTGACATCGAATAAATTTTCGGGGGGTTTTGCCGTTTTAGTTTGCTGGGGTTTAGCTTTTAGGACAGGATGAGGACATGTTTGGGAATTTGAAGTTTGTGTTAGCGGTTTTCTCAACAAGAAATTTGGGATAAGGGTTACATGCCTTCAATTTCAGTAGATTTGCTATAAATTCACTTTTGCAGTTAAGTCCTTCAACTTTCACTTATTGCCCTTTTCAGTTTCTATTTCACCCTTTCCGCCTTCCAGAATCATGGGACACAACAGTGTAAATTTTTATTTCCAAAAAACATGTCTTTAAAAGCAAGATGCTTGAAGACAAAAAGGTACTGTGTAACTGCCAATTAGCTTGGTAAGAACATCTTTTCTTCTTCTTTTTTATGTCCAAGAAAATTGGGATTTGGGAAACTGAAAATCAAGTTCATTTTATAAATGTTTTTGTAACTTAATGACCCGAGTTTGGTGCAATCTTCATGTCGAACAATGCAACAAAATAAAAAAAGTTTAAGAAGAAAAGATTTTGCCCTCTCATCTTCGCAGTTACACTTTGTGAAACAGGCTAAAGCTGGGATGATTCTATTCCTGTTTGAATTTGAGAGGAGAGAACTGCATGGTGTGTTTCAAGTGTGCTCTGACGCTGCAATGAATATTCTGCCTCGTGTATTCAGTTCATCAGGGAAGCAATTCCCTGCAGAGGTATGGGTGCATTTGTTCTTATTGTGTGTTTTATGTGCTTCTTCCCTCTCTCAAAGACGGATGGGAGGGATGCATTGTTGGAGTTTGTGTTAATACTTACAGAATTTCATCTAGGTAAAATTCACCCTTATGTGGTACTGTTCTCCACTTTCTGAAAATGAATTTTGTGAATCGTGATGCTGTCAAAGAAAACTATTTTTCCAGATACAAGTTGAACCTTGGACTGTCCAAAGATCAGGTCTGCCCTTTTTCTATCAAAATCCAACCTGAATAAATTGAAATGCCACCTTTTAAAATGTGTAGGTTCTGAGGCTTCTATCATTATTCAGTTTGAAGAGGCTGAAAGATCAGGCACCTCAGAGACTGTTGACCAGAAGTAAAGTTGTAAGGCCAAGTGAGTACTCTACAAGTAAAAATAGAAGACTGGTTGATAGGTCTCCAATGAGTAACCAGGTACCAGGTGAATGTCATGTGGACAACAATTACGGACCAGTTATATCAACTGTGCACTAAGGGGACTATTTTTATAATGATGACAGAGCAACTGATGATGGTAGATTTGGAACGTACATGGATGCAAGATATGAGCATAAAGCAAGTGCCTTCTTAAATGAGTGTTTTTGGGATCGTATGGATAAAGTTGGAGGGAACATAAATTCTGGTGAATATGCCAGATATAATAGGGAATGGAATACTGGTATTGAGCTTCAACCGGCAGTTTCAGTTGGGTATTCTTCAGGTAATTTCAGAAGCATTTCTAATGATGTTAGGTTTGCAAAGAGTAATAGGGTTGAAACAAAATGTTACAAGGACGATGTTTTTGCGCCAACCATCTCAACAGCATATCCTAGTTCTTTTCAATCTAAGGAAATTCACAAACGTATTCTAGCAAACATTTAGAAACAGGTTCATTTATTGATGGCCCAACTAGGCCATCCTTAACGTTCCTTGCCTCGATGGAGATGCAAAATTCCAATGCTAGTAATCCAATGACTTTTGAAGATTCAGCTGTTACAACTACTCTTCCTTACGATCCCAATTGCACTAATATCAATTACCGGGGCTCCTTGTTTTTGGGGTTTAATCAGGGTCATGCCTCATTGCAAGATTATATTGGGCATGATAGTTTTGTTGTTAATGTCCTTGGTTCTTTTACAAATCAATCATTTCCTTCGATGTTAGAGACTAGAAAGACAACCATAAGCCATGATTTCAACTCTGGTTCTAGGGATTTCATTCCATTGCCTTATTTTAATCAGTATGAACTCTCCAACAGGACTAGCCTGCCAAGGCATGACTATTTAGATAACCTAGCAGCTGAATGCTCTAAAAAAGAACACTGGAGATCTTTCCCTTCTGAAGCCCTCTTTAGCACCTGTTCCTTCTTCTGCAATTAGAAATAATGTCAGGATCGGTGAGCCTTAATCATCTTACAGAACCAGTCCTAGCAAGTTCCTTCTCTTACATTTTCTGACAGCTATACTCCATTATTACAAGACAAACACGATTGTCAAGTGCCAGAGCATGAAAATGATGTAGAATTTGGAAATGGTGGTTTTATGTTTAAAGAGTGCCAGTGCCAAGGGGACTTTTTTTATAATGATGACAGAGCAGTTGAGAATGGCAGATTTGCAATGTACAAGAACGTGGAATATGAGAATAAAGAGAGCCAGCACCAGCTGCATGTTTATGAATCTACAAAAGCGGTCTACCATGAAGTTACTTCATTGAGTCCTGCTGCATATCAGAATTCTGAATGCTTATATACAGATTGCCGGAAGAAAAGGAGCAGTGTATTTTCTCGCTTGGCTTTTCCTCCTAAAGCATGTGAACAAGAAAGTAACACCACTCCTGTCACTGCTGACATCGATAGGAACACTTCGGTGAATGAAGTCATGGACATTCTGCACTGAAGCCGTTACCATTGGGTGAAGACATGTGTAAACAGTTCGTCAAGCATCTTGGCTATGATCCTGATGAGATGAATGTGAAGCCTATCTCATTCAGCAAGGCGAATAGCAGCCAAAAAACTGAAGAGACTACTTTTGTGGATTTCAAACGTCGTAGTGCAGTGAGAAAACTTTGAAAATGGTAAGACAGGAAACCATTGTGAAATTCTGAAAAACAAGAGTGCGTCAGCTGCACAATGTAAAAAGAGAAGATTGATTAGGCCAGACTTTTATGAGAATGAGTTATCAGACAGGTTAATATCAGGTGATAATCATGAAAATGTAATAGCATCCTCAACAGAATGTTCTGTCAGTAAAACCGCTGAAAGTATCAAGGTTTCTGTTTGCCATGAAAATGAAAATGATGTCTTACAAAAATGTTAAATTGCCAAATGTGATTTGCCAGACTGCCATTGAAGCCAACAACTTTGACAAGGGAAGTAGCTCAAACTCGGAACAATTTATTATGGAAAGCTTTATTGTTTTGAGAAGTGCTGATAAAGGTGGAAAAGAATTATTCCAAAGTCATGAATATATGGATGGATCGATTATCTCAAGATCGCATGATGTGGATTATCTCAACACTGCAATGATGTCAGCCATTCCGCACACGAGTCATCTCCAAAAATTTGTGAAGACAATGATGGTAATGGAGTTGGAAAGAGCGGATTCTTTTACATATTGAACAGATCAAAAAATTCTGTCCTGTTGTGGGTGAGATATCCATCAGCAGTGTGAATTAAGGGAATCTAAACTCTAACTGAGAAAGGCCCGCCTGGAGGCCTTACATCAGTGTAAACTTTTTGCAGAAATGGGACTTTCAAGAAATCAAGCAGCAGCCATCTTTTGGATTTGGTAGAGACAATGTGAGTCCACTTTTGGAATCACCAATTGCTTTAATATGCAAGAATCGTAGCATGAAATACATGATGGAAATGTTAGATGTGGAAGTAATTCGACAATGGTGAAGGTGAAGAATGAAATTGTTTTTTTTTTTAAATCAAAATTTTGAAGATGGCAACAAGGTTTTATGGAGCAGTCTCATGCAACTGAAACTCAGAAGTCATAACATAAGCTTGTTTACATTGATCAGAATGATGAAAACAAACCAAGATTTACCAGTTGGAATTTGGCTACTCTTTTTGCCCTGTAACAAAGATAAGAATTTCGTCTTTGGTAAAATTCATTTTTGGCTACTCTTTTTGTTTAGTCAAACTCTGCTGCAAATGTGAATTCGGTGCCTAACATGGTGGACGGCGGTTTTCACTACATCCTTTTAGCATACACAAAAGGTATCGAGTTAAACAAACAAAGGATCATCCTCATCTCTGTCACTCTTTCTTAAAATACAATATTTAGCAGCAAGGCAGCTCACTCCTTCTATTGCCATGCCGACCAACCCCTTATGATTCCTCGGGCCTTCTCGCTGCCTCGTCCATAACTAAATAGCAAACAGTCTAAAGTGCTGTACGTAGTACACTTCTAATCCATGGCATTAGGCCCAAAGCATCTTCTTTTCACAGGATTCCACACCCATTGAACCAAAAATTTTCTTCCCTTGACTCCATTCACATTGTACCCGTTCCCCCAAGAATCCTTGTAAACTTTACCCACATACCCACCGCCACCACCAGAGCCATACAAACCTAGACACAAGTCTGCAATTTCGGTAGGTGCAGTTGGATCATCTCCTGCATACCATGCATTAACCAGTGGATTACTTGAAACTTCTGCTAGCTCATGAGCCATAACACTGATCATTCCATCGACTCCTGCATCCCCATTTGGCGCACGCATTATGTCGTTGCCTCCATTTGTGCTTGGTGGTGGCTTCCCTGAGTACTTAGGCCAGGCAAATGGATAGGCACACATTCCTGGACATTGAGTTCCACTGTAACCGATCCAGGCATAGGGAACTGTTACACCAACAATGGTTGGGAAGGTGAAGTAATGAAACCCACAGACTGCCCGGCAGAAATCCTCAACCTGGACATCAGAAGAAGTTAGCACCAAATAGAGGCCATTGCGAGGATTGAGAGGCAGTGGCCTTGGATAGGAAGTGACTGCAGTTTTGATGATGGATTGCATTGACAAACGACTTAGATAAACACCATGGGAATATCTCAAGTCATAAAACTCTCCTGAAAGGGAAATGCTACCTGTGATGTTTGATCCTGTTTGGTCAGTGTAGAGCCTGACAGTTTTCCACCAATCAGCAACAGAAGGGTAAGGAGCTGAAGAAGACAAGGAATAGACAAAGTCCCTTATGGTGGCTTGGTGGGTTGGATTCCAGTGACCATACCAAATTATGTACAGATTGATAGGTGATGCAAGGACAGGACCCATGTGGTACTCGAGGTTAACAAGGTCTGAAGAACCCTCATAGTTCTCAGCTTGGTTAAATTGAGTGTTTTGACTCCATGAAAGAGCCAGAGGAAAATAAAGGAATGATAATAGAAGGAGAAGATAACAAGAGAACTTGTGCATTTTATTTTTGCTGTTGCTGTTTCTTTGAATGTTGTGAGTGGCGACGAGTTAAGAGAGAGAGATTTCTTATAGAAGGAAAGGATGTGAAACAAAATGGAGGGTAGTTGAGATTCTTCTTGTTCTGGACACTTATTTTGCATGTTTACATAATTCAACTGACCATCATTTTCTACTTTTTAATGATACAATGTTGTTCCACTTTACTTTATATATATATATATATTTAATTTTATTCACATATTACATTAAAGAGTAGGGCTAACAACTGTATATTTTATATATTTGTGCTTCCCTCAATCAAGTGATTGCAGAATATTGGGATCAACAGAAAATTATTTTTTAACACTTAGGGCAGTTGTTACTGGATCTTTGGCTTTGGCTTTTGACTCTTAATCTTAATGATTTCATCTGCCAGTTTTCATCTCTAAATATTTGAGACAAAAACTGGGTAGATCATAACTTTGACTACTTTACAGATTATTGGGATCAACGGAAAATTATTTTTTTAACTTAGGACAGTTAGTACTGGATCTGTAGCTTTGGCTTCTGATTCCTGTTCTTAATATCTTAATCTATATGTCTTCATCAACCAGTTTTCCATCTCTATATGGTTGAGACAAAAACTGGATAGATCATAACTTTGACTCCTTGATTTTTTTTTTTGTTTAATAATATAAATGCATTATAAGAATGCATTATAAGAAATAATATTATGTATTTAAAATTTTCATAAATACCATTTGTCCTGAAATCAAACTTTGATAGTGCACAACCTTTTCACATGCTAAGATATTAACATATTATACATCTGCATTTTTAGGAATGATACCCTAAGTTGTGATTAGCATAAAGGGTGGTAAATATTAAATAAAAGAAAAATGATGAGAGTCAAAACCAGAGTCTAAAACTAAGTGATGGATTTACTCTTTGGTAAAAGCAAGCATGTGATATCTTTTCTTATTTTTCTCTCCTATCTAGTGATTTGTGTATTTATATAGTTTAAAATATTAAAATTCATATATTTTTATCGTATTTTATATAAAAATTATATTTATAATTAATATTAATATGAAAATATAAAATATATTTTTTATTAAATTTATATATAATTATTATTAAAATTTTAAATTATAATTTTTATATTTTTTTATATCATATTCATACCATTATATTATATTATATTTTAGATTATCATGTTTATTCGTACTACACCTCTTCTCTTTCAATATCGTTGACTATCTATGTTTTCTTGTGGAACAAAATTTTCTAACATAATGCTGCAAATATAGATAAAAAGATTTATTTACACACTTTCTAGTTCAATTTCATAGCTTCAATGTAGACTAGTCTTCTATGCACAAAAGTGTTTATATATATATATAACTGAGTTCTTTCAATGATTGTGTGATTCTAAATCAAAAAAAAAAAAGGAGAGAACATAAATTAAGAGTATCATTCACAATGGGAATATGTTCCAATATGAAATTTCCTAAAAAAAATTGAATACTCCACGATTAACTGGTAGATTTGACTTTGTACATGAATGACATTTATACAAAAGTGGAGTGGCAAGTTGCTTTTGGAGTAATTAATTCCATTAATATGTGGGGTTAGGTGGCCTGAGAGCTCACAGACGAACCATGTGACACTTGATTATGGTAGTTTTTTCCTTAAAAGTTGTTGTTGAAAAAAAAGAAATGTACTATGCAATCATGCAAAGGCAGGACATGCATGTGATGGACCATAAGCATCTTCAACTTCCCCTGCCGTAATTATGGGGATGATTGATTTCTTAACCAGAGAAAACTCCTTGCACTCACCTAATTAATCATAAAAGAAGTCACTTTTTTTCCAAGCTTGAAATTATCATCTGAAGCTATTAAGTCTTGCGTGTTTTCTTCTCCTTCTTCACTTGTGAAATTATGCTTGCTACACAAGTCAAAGTTGCTGATTTAAAACATACATACAATTCTTATGCCAGAATCAAGAACATATAGTTTTTCTGCTGCATTGTGCATTTAATCTGCTCTTTCTGCATTAGCATTTTTGGTCGCTTTTTCTTGCTTTTGCTTTGTCAGTTTGGCGATCATCAAGGAGCAATCAAATGAAACCATATGTAAAGCTGTTGAACGGTGGACTGTCGACTTTATGTCAGGTCCCCTTTTGTTAGTGAAATCTATTACTTAACTGCACAAAGATAACTAAAAAGAAGAAATGCTAATGGAAAAATTGGACCAACAGATTTAATGATTGTGCTGGTTGGCAACAAGTCAATAAAGTTGCAGAGCGTGCCAATTTATACAAAAAAAAAAAAAAAAAAAACACCCATTGTTAAATGAGCATATCTAGATCTTATCTTAATTACGAAATGAGCCATCACATAAGATTTTTTTTTTTTCAAATTTAATATTATAAAGATATGCTAAGTATGCTAAGTTTTAGATTAAGTCTTAATTTATATATTATAATATATTATCAAAATATTTTGATGTAATATTATAATTTGTCTAACACAAATCACACATATAATCATAAAATTTACATCAAACGTCAGACAAGATCAACACAAAACACACACAGATTATAAGAATATATCAATCATTAAAATTTTAAAGGTAACCCTCATGATATAATACCTAGCTATTCACTGAAACTTGACTTTGATATTATTTGTAAAAATCAACACCTAACTTATAAGATATTATTTATTTTAACCTAAAAATTTTATGATTTTATTCTTAAAAAAAACGTCTCATAAATTTAAATTTAAATCCTGACTTATATATCATAATAAAATTTTAAAATATCACGATATAAAATTATAATGTCATAAATATATAAATATATTTGAAGTTTAAAGTCTCAAAGTTTGCATTTCTTCTTTTTATTTTCAACTTACGACTTTTTTATAACAAAAAAAATATATAAATCAAATGATTTTTTTTTGTTATATATATTTGAATAATCAAAGTCCATCTTTATATATTATAGATTTATCTAGGAAAATGTAGAATCTTGGGATTGGTTAGAAAAATCTTTGAAAGATTCAACTTTCTAAATAATGTTAATCCTAAGATTATTATATGTTATACAATAATGTGTTAATGCGTATCATGTAAAAATTGTAATCGGTGCAAAGAGATGCAATGTACCCAGGAAAATCTCAAACTTCACATGCAAATAAAGAGACTGAAATATTCAACTGTTAGGCTTGATTAATTAATAAATAGTTTGTTTATATTAATTTTTTGCGTCAGAGTTCATAACCATTTTTTGATTTATTTATAAAATTACAAGTATAAATAAAAAATATATATTTCATATAAATAGGGTTGACATCGGATCGAGTTCCAGACGGGTTTTGCTCGCACCCGAACCCGACTCGATTCGAATTTTTTTTTTGATTTTTTCATACCTGAATCCGACTCGAATCCGTACTATTAAACTGTACCCGACTCGAAATTAATAAAATATTATTTTTTAAATATAAATATTTAAAAATATTATTATATAAATATATATAAATAAATAATTAAAAAATTAATTAAAAATAATTTTTTATATAATATCGAGTCAGATCGGGTTTTAGGTAAACACGACTCGACTCCAATTATTTTCTAAATTTATCCGACCTAAAATTTAAATTAAAAAAAAAAATCGATCCCATAAAATCGAATTAAATCGATACCAATCAGGACAGGACAGATTAGTTCACCGTCCCTACGTATAAAAAACTTAACAAAATTTCGGGCCTCAAACATGATTCCAAAAGTTAAGCAAAACAGACATTGAAAGCGTAACACTTTTACTTGGGGTTGGGCTCTAACCTTTTTCCCAAACAAACAAGAGAGTTAGGACAAAGGATATAAATTTTGGATTTGAAAAATTCACAAGTAAGACCCAACTTGACCCTTGAAATCCATTATAATTAGGGCCCCAACCCTTTAGATCAGGGTCTTCATTATTTGCTTTCAAGGTAAAGAGTCATGCTTTTATTTGATCTCTCCTTGTGGGTTTCAGTTTGCCGGCTGCATCATTTCCCTTAGTCCCTTCGGCTGCTCTTGAATATTTCAATTGCTGCCAAGAAACAAACGAGGGTGCCATTTGTATGTATCTTATGCTTGCCCCTAGGTTTCCAGTTGCCTTGCATACTTTGTAAAAGTTTAAATTAAACTTAACAATATATTCGTGTTATATAAAATATTTAAATTTATACATTTATATTATATTTTTTATAAAAAATATATATTATAATTTATGTTGTCACAAAAATATAAAATATATATTTGTTACTTTATTAAATTTATATATTATTTTTATTAAAATTTTAAATCATATTACTTTCGTATCTTATTTTTATCTTGTGTTTATGTCATATTATCATTTCGTATCTTAAATTATATGATTTAAATCAAATTAAAAGATTTAATAAAATCGTTGATATTACGATCAATGAATCATGAGATGTCATTTAACCTCTAAACTTTAAGAATTTTGCAATGAAATCATTCATGCATTTTGATGATGAGTTTGACGTGCTTACAGGTAGGATCTATGCAGTTCATTTCAAGTGCAACAAGAAGCTTCTCCACAGTACCCAAATTTGTTCAACTATACCAAAAACATTTACCAAGTTCCTGACATGAGCAGCACAATGAATGTGCAACACATCAAGCAGCATTGCCATGAAAGCCATCCTAATCCATTTCTCTCTCTTACATAATGCCAAAGAAGGCCAAAAGGAGCTTAAAAAACAAGGAAAAAAAGGTGCATGAATTGTAATTTATTGAAATTTAGTACATCCAACAATGAGTGAGTGTTTTCACCAAATCTCCCATTCTTTCTTTAAAGGGCTTGATTGTGGTGGTGCCCATTTTTTTTGGGTACATTGATTCAATAATTGCATTGTTGAATGTCCCTCCATGGACCCTTTCCAGTGAACTTATCAGTTCCTCCACCCCTCCATTTCTATTTTTTTTTTCACTCTCAAACAATCATTTACTTATAAGTTATGAACAAAAATGTTTATGAAATTTGTTTTTTCCAACTATACCTCAATTTAATCTTATTACAAAAGCCATAGTTGTTATTTCCCATAAAAAAAAAAAAAAAAAACAGTTTCATTATTATTATTTTTTAACTATCTAACAAAGGGATGATACCTTGGGATGTGCTAGACTTGATTGCTTTTATTAAGACAAACAAATCTTCTGACATGCAAATAAAAAGAGTACTAACTGGGATTTGGCTTCTCTTTGATTGAATTTGCAATATATACTTAAATGAATGGTAGATAACAATAATAATATATATTTGTCTATTTAATATGTGTATGAATTCAAATTGATTTGTCTAATTGATAACAAGCACTTCTATTTTAATAATGATCCAAATCATGCATGTTTTTGTTATTTTAAAGTGAATTTTTTATAATGATAATAAATTTTTAAATTTTGTCTAATATATTTTTTCAAATCAATTTCAATAAGATTATTTATGCCGAGTTTATATAATTATCTTTGGTAACGCATGATTTATTTTGCAGATTACAGTTCGATTCAATAAATTAGAGAGTGGAGCAGAGGTGGTCTGCTGATCATAATTGATGATTGAAATGTGAAGGAGAAGATAATATAAGAGATAAAATGTGGGAAGTGGATAGGGAGAGATTTGATTTTAATTTCTAGAAAGGCAATGGAGAGCAAAAACAATGGAAAATAGCACATCATAATACAGGAAAGAAAGAGAACAAAAAGGAGAGACAGAAATGGAACTTTCAATGTTTAAATAAAACCCATTAAAAAGAGAAAAGTAAAAATGGTAATAATGATATTAAAATGGGGATATTGAAGGATTATACCTCCAAATTAGTCCCTCCATGGCTCTATGCCCCACATTTATTTATATCTTATATTATCTGATGATGAACTACCTTTTGCCTCAAAAATCTTTTAAGTATCACTATCAGCAACAAAAAAATGTACTAATCTCTAAAAGAAGTTAGCCCTGGAAATAAAAATATTACTACTAAAATTATTGAAAAATAAAAAAAAAATCAAAACCATAAAACCCAACTCTATGATAAGGGGAGATTTGAATTATTTGAGATAAGAGTGTGCCACTTTTGGGAGCAAATATGGATGGCCACCAATTTTCCCTACCAGAGTAAACATCAATGTCCAAGAAAAATTATTTTACCCTTTGCCCATTTCTTCCTCCATTATATTTTCTCTTGTCATGCCATTTTTATTCCAACATTGCAGCCAAATTGCCAACTGCCAAGCTGTTGAACTAAAAAGAAAAAAAAAAAAAGAGATTTTCTAAAAACCCCAAATATCTCTTCTGTGATACAATATAGCAGTATCAGCTAGTAGATATTTGTGGCCTTTTCTCTTTCTCTCTCTAATTTAGAGTCATCTTTATGTTATTTCCTGAAAAAGCTTCTATCATTCTAAATTTAGAGCCTCTTTTTTTTTATACATAGATGGCCTTTTACTCTTTCGCTCTCTAAATTAGAGTCATCTTTCTTTTCTTTACTAAAAAAGCTTCTATCTTTCTAAATTTTAAGCCTCTTTTTCTTGCACAGTGATACAAATAGAATAACACATACTGTGAGACTGACAGTTTTGAAGTTCTTTTTTGTGGTTAACAGGTTAAGTGCAATAATCACTAGAGCATGAAAATCTCCAAAGGGCTTGACTTTGAGTAACACATACTGTGAGACTGACAGTTTTGAAGTTCTTTTTTGTGGTTAACAGGTTAAGTGCAATAATCACTAGAGCATGAAAATCTCCAAAGGGCTTGACTTTGAGTCCTCAATCCCAGCCCTGCCATTTTTTATAGGCGAGTTTTAGCCTAATATATGCTCAGGATTCTCATAAAGGTCATATCTTTATCTGGGTTCGCTTCTAAATTTGGTCCAAATATTTTATCTTTTCTTTTGAGCTCTTTTTATTTTTGTGGTTTAATATGTTGAATTGGTGCTTTTTAGCTTTCTGGGTTTGGAATAGTCCATAATTACTCAAGTCATAAAATACGCATATCCAAAAGGTTCAATTTTTGCAGCACTTTTTTTCAGCATCCTCCAAATAAAAGGGTATTTAATTTGGCTGTTGTTTATCTCTGTCAACTGCTATCTAAGCTATCATCCTATTGGTCATATTTTCTTTCACTCTTTCCTACCTCTTTCAGCTTGGAGAGGAGGATATCATTGTTCTATCTGGGTTCGCTTTCACTTGTGAAAATACCCTTGGAAGAAATTTCTTTCCTCTATGGCCATTGGACATTGAATAGAATGATGTCCTGTTTTTGTTTCTTTTTTTTTTTTTTTTTTGGGTGAATTATTGATGTATTTCAGGATAGTTACTTGTTCTATCCATGTTTAATAAGTTGTTGGCCAGGATTGACATTTCATATATTTGTATTGTATTAGTATTCTCTCCATGTAAGAGGTTAGAGTGCACAGCTCTCGAATTTTTTTCTTTTTTTGATTTGATCTTTTGCCATTTGCAGTTACTTTGGTTTGCCATTTAGCCACACTTGTATTTTAGCGGCCTTTATGGAATTAACAGAGTTAGTATTATTCACTTATACTTCTTTATCTATTTTAATGATTATCAACGTTTCCTTCTTTTGCTATTATAAATTTAGTATTGAATGCAATCATGACTAAGTATTGTCAGTGATCATGATCACAGGCAATACTTCGGTTTGCTTTATGACACTAAAATATACATTGATTTTTGAGACAAATTGAATTATTATTATTTAGGAGAGCTGAAAGATGGAGAGGACCAGATTGGATTTAAGATTTCATCACTCTGGATCAACAGAATCAGAGGAATCTGCTTTAGATTTGGAAAGAAATTGCTGCAATCATCTTAATCTGCCTTCATCAAGTCCTTCACCTCTTCAACCGTTTGCATCCGGTGCTCAGCATTCTGAGAGCAATGCTGCCTACTTCTCATGGCCTACTTCAAGTCGATTAATTGATGCGGCAGAAGATAGAGCAAACTATTTTGGAAACCTACAGAAAGGGGTGTTGCCAGAAACTCTTGGACGGTTGCCATCAGGGCAGCAAGCGACCACCTTACTTGAGTTGATGACCATTAGGGCATTTCATAGTAAAAATCTGCGTAGGTTTAGTCTTGGCACAGCAATTGGATTCCGTATTCGACGGGGTGTTTTGACAGATATACCAGCTATTCTTGTCTTTGTTGCTCGAAAAGTTCATAGGCAATGGCTTTGCCAGTTTCAGTGTTTACCTGCTGCACTTGAGGTGAGTAAGTTTAATGCTTCCAGCTTCACTGCTTTTACTGAACATCCATGGTTTCTTTCTCTCTGTAATTGTTTCTTTCTTGGTTTCTCCTAGTTTTATGGGAGGTGGGTTGCAGGGAAAAGCCTGTTCGTTTCCTAAGTTACATTAAATTTGTTGGTTTTGATATTATCCATGGCTGCTAATGTGATGCTACTTTATCCTTGAGAAGTTCTCTATTTCATGTCGGATTTGACTCTTTCAAGATTATGATTATGAGTTCTTGGTAGTTTGTTTTGGAAGTTTCTAAGCAAGCATATTGGATCTAAGCAAGAAAATTTTCAAAATTATGACTAACCTTTCTAGGTTTGACTTATCTTTTGTTTGGAAAGTTAAAAATGTTTATTTGAAATATTGGATCAGGGGCCAGGAGGTGTGTGGTGTGATGTAGATGTTGTTGAATTTTCGTATTATGGTACACCAGCTGCAACTCCTAAAGAACAATTATATACTGAACTTGTAGATGGCTTGAGAGGAAGTGATCCAATCATTGGTTCTGGTTCACAGGTAATTGTTCTTATTAAGTGTGTAGAATGTTCCTTTACGTCGCTAATTCTTTCTAATCCAATTACAGTGGTCAAGCTTGAGTTCTTCATTCTAGAATTGCTTGGTATCCTTTTGCCTGCATCATGTGTACAACTTATTTTCAAATTCCTTTAGTAATCCTTCTAGGAGAGTGTTAAGACTTATGACCTTTCTTGTCAAAGTGATGGTAAAGTGACCTTCTCTTTTAGTAACTTGTTTCTTCAAGAAAAAAGCTTTTTCCCTCTTGTACTCTGCCCTGAGCATTAATTACTGTTTTTGAGCAATGTTGATATAACTCTTTTCCTGTCTCGGTTTTTTTTACCATTGAAACCACTCGGTTACTCCGGCACATGTAGGTTGCCAACCAAGAGACATATGGAACACTGGGTGCTATTGTGAAGAGCCGATCAGGAAATCGGCAGGTAGGTTTCCTCACAAATCGGCATGTTGCAGTTGACTTGGACTACCCTAATCAGAAGATGTTTCATCCTTTACCACCCAGCCTTGGGCCTGGAGTGTACCTTGGTGCTGTAGAGAGGGCAACCTCATTTATAACCGATGTCCTTTGGTATGGAATCTTTGCTGGTATAAATCCAGGTAATGCAGTTCCAAATTTATTTTTCTGCTGTTAAATCTTCTGCAAGGAAATTTATTGATCATTGCATTAGAAAAAAAGAGAGAAATTGAACACAATTCAGATCAGGATGCTAGGGGATAGTGTTTGAATTTCAACGAAGGTTTCATAATCCTTAAGCATGCTATGTTTAACTTCATACTTGTGCCAATGGATTTCTCATTGCCTCCTGTCTCCCTTACATGCTCATTATGTTTTGGTCCTCCCGCAGAAACATTTGTGCGAGCGGATGGGGCTTTTATTCCTTTTGCTGAAGATTTCAACATGAACAATGTAACTACAACTGTAAAAGGCATAGGTCAGATTGTTGATGTCCATATCATAGACTTGCAGTCTCCAATTAGCAGTCTTATTGGAAGGCAAGTTGTCAAAGTGGGAAGAAGCTCTGGCTTGACCACTGGGACAATAATGGCGTATGCTTTAGAGTACAATGATGAGAAAGGAATCTGTTTCTTTACAGATTTTCTTGTTGTTGGGGAGAATCAGCAGACTTTTGACCTTGAAGGTGATAGTGGAAGCCTCATACTGTTATCTGGTCAGAATGGGGAGAAGCCACAGCCTGTTGGGATCATTTGGGGTGGGACTGCTAATAGGGGTCGGCTGAAACTCAAAGTTGGCCAACCCCCAGAAAATTGGACTAGTGGAGTTGATCTTGGGCGTCTTCTTAAACTCCTTGAACTTGATCTCATCACAACCAGTGAAGGGCTTCAAGGTATGCATTTCCATGACAATCAGTAACTTTTTCTAGTTTGTAGCTCTCTGGTTAGTTCTTTCATAGTGGTGCTTATGAATGATTATCCAGTTAAATGACATTCCGTTGCAAACTGTGATTTGAACAAACAAATTACATGTTGAAATGAAAGTTACATATGTAATGGCTATTACCCTACACTGCAAGTTAAAAGAAAGGTGAGAAATAAATAGATTACCTTACTCACTGGATGATAATGCATAAATAGATGATATTGACCAAGTGGTAATTTAGGACAAATGATTAATTTCAGTTTTGAATATTGGTGTGCCATATTTCCCTTTTCCTATCTTTGACTATTTTAGATTCTCAAGTTGCAAAAATGTAGTATTGTAGGCTGAGTATCTATCAAGCAAAATTAAGTATAATTGTAGAAAGGAAGAAAGTGAGAAAAAGGCATCTCCTACCTTTATGGTTAATTTTTTCTGTATCTGGTCTCTAACTGTGGCGTTGACACTCTTTATTTGTCTTTGTTATTGACAAAGCTGCTGTGCAAGATCAAAGAAATGCTTCTGCAGCAAGGATCGATTCTACAGTTGGGGAGTCTTCTTCCCTGGTCCGGTTTCCATCTAAAGATAAGATTGAAGAGAACTTTGAGCCTATTAATTTAAATATCCAGCAAGTTTCGGCTGAGGGTGAGCCCTCGCGAGGACGTATATTACCAATCATGCATACTGAATATCGGGCAGAAGATAGGGGTGAAGCAGCTGCCAATGCGGAGCATCAATTTATTCCGAGTTTCAATGTAAGGTCACTAGTTCATGATAAGAACCAACGGGAAAACCTGGAATCTAGAAATCTTTCAGCATTAAGGAATGGCTTAGATGAGGATATTTATGTCTCACTGCAGTTAGGCGAGCATGAACCAAAAAGAAGAAAATATTCAGATGCCTTGTGTAGCATCAAAGACTCGAAGTGAAAGAGTTTTCCCAATAGGGGCAAATTGCTTGGAGATATCTTTATCAAAATCAGGTCACACAATTATTTCTGTTATAGCTTCAAATTGTCGGGCCTTATTATAAGAAAAAAAAAAAAAAAAAAACTGGAAGTGTCAGTCACGTAAAGAAGGGGAGCATATCACCTACAATCTTTGTCTCCCCAATCATTTGGTTAAATTTCCACAGTAGGTTTACATATATGGGTTATACAGTCTTAGTAGAAAATAATGTTTAGATGATTCCTATGCTAAATATTTCTTTGATTCGTGTTACTCTGTTGAATTGTTGTACCATAAAGCACTCCGAAAGTGGGGACTATGAACAGCTACCAATAATTAGAAACATGGAAATATTAGTTTTGGCTAGCATAATTATTAATGAATCTGCAACCTGATAGCAACTGGGTTTACCTTCAATGTTGCAGGAATTGTTTCAAGGCCGATGCTAGCTTTTGCATTAACGTTGGGCGGAATCCATAGGGGTTTCGTCATTTGCGGACGCGTCTCCATATGCCCAATCCAAATATGAACCCTTTCTGTGACTACTAGCCATTGGATTAGGAAAAAAAATAGAATCCAACATTGGTTATGTCGTGAATCAAATTATTTCAAGTTGTATTTATGGTTCATAATCTTTCACGACAACAGAATTTATTTCACATTGAAAAGATATAACTATCCCATGAGAGTTTAATGACGCAAGTACAGTGAAGCTTTGCTTTTAAGGAACAAAGTTTTACGTTCTAGGGCAGGAAGGGATAACAGTTGAAGTTTTTACTCGATCGGATGTCTGATAAAAGGGATGATTGGCCCTAACGTAACCGAGGAAAAGAACAGTCAGTCATTAGAGGCAGGTAATGGTGATTGTCATGTTGGTTAGGCGATCCTAACCTTTTCAACAGATCAGATGGGATATATTAGAGATTTTTTTTAATTGCTTTTAATTTGGGCAATAATGAAATGAGCTTAGTTGGTTGATAGATATGACTAATTTGATTAGAGATAAAGAAAGAAGAAACAAATGCTATATGTTTTATATTTAGGTTTAGGACAAATGATTATGTCAATCCTTGTCTCTAATTATGTGCCATAATTTCTTGGTACTGTGTCTCCTTTAAAAACACGTGGTGGTTCGATTAGAGATCAGATGGAATGATTTATTTATTCCAAATTAAAACTGTCTCCATCCAGGACTTAAGAGAAATAAAAAAAACATAAGAGAGAAAGAAAACCATAGATATGGAGATCGAAAGAATGCATGATATAATCATTTTATTTTAGTTCATTTGCGTGCAGTAATTATTACATGTGCAGCATAAAGTACATTATATATTACAATCTTATATACTCAGTACTCATGGAAAGATGAGAAGACAAAGATGTTTGGCTTTCCTAGCTTGCTTGCTGATCGGCAAACTGATGAGAGGACCTTGATCAGTCAATACTCAATGTTGTTGCGGTTGTATCCGGAAGATGACTGTTGCTCTCTTATGTCTTAACCTGTCAGGCGTCATCATTCGTTTGACTTTAAATACAAATAGAAACTAATAACTCGAAAAACTTGAAATGTCTGATATGGAGACATGAGTCTGATCATCAAACAATTTCTTGCATTAATGTGACTAAAGAGGAAAAAAAAAAGTGGAAGAAAAACACAATCAATTCATTCACATGCTATTAATATTAGTATATCTCACCAATGATATTAATTTGCATTATTTCTGAGTTAGGGCTATACAACAAGTTTAATGCATTAATATTATACACATATAGAATCCATCTCTGGGTGAAATGGTTATTACGTACTGTATTTGAAACGAAAATCTATTCAAATTGTTGGGTCATGAAATATCAAACTGGTCCCCTAACAGTATTTGGTAGAGGCAAAGAGGCAACCAAATCACACTTATTTTCGACTCCTGATTGAATCAAGTTCAACTTGCCTAGCAGTATGAAAACACTGAAAATTATAAGGGCATTAAAATTCAAGAATCACAAAAAAAATTACTGAAAATATATATTAATGTATAATATATAGTTGCAGTTGTTGCAATATCATAACACTGTGCACCCTCTGATTACCAATCATGTCTTTCTTGTAATGGGATTTGTTTTACTTGTTGATTCTGGATACCACCAGGGAAGTCAAGACAAACTTGCACACACAGGCATGCAACAACACAAGCAACACGAAGAGAGAGAGAGAGAGAGAGAGAGAGAGAGAGAGAGAAAACCAGCATTAACTTTATTTCCTGGACCAAAGTTTCAGCTACTAAAAAGAGGCCTAGCAGGCACAAGGATAGAGTTGCAAATTTATCATACTAATTTGACTCTGATAGACAGATTTGTGCAGGTGGCTTCATGTGTAAGTTATATATGCGTAATTGCAAAAGTATATGAACAATGTATTCAAGCAATAAATTAGAAAAAGAGAGTTACCAGACTAGGCTAAGAAAATTACATAACATTCAGAGATGACTGCAATTTCTCACAAAATCAGTAATGAAAGATTCATCAAGAATTGGAAAATTTTGAGCCAAGCACAGAAGAATTACCTGGAATGGAGGTCTTACTTGTGAGGGAGAGCAAAATCCCAAATACCCATAACTAGCATGCTAGAAAGTTCTTTTGTTGGTGAGTGAGTGATTGAAGCTGCAGGATGATCTGATGGAACCATATCTATGACGCTAAGTTCAACCAGGGTTCCTTATTAACACATCTAAATTAATTCCCTGGCAAACTAAAAACCCCTTAAAAAATGGACAATATATACCCTTGTCCTGAAAATGCTTTGAGCACTTGGACTCAAGAATTCTGATCCAAAACTGGTCATATGCAATCTACTTAACTATGGGTGTCTGTCATACAGATAGCTTAATTACCTATATAAAGACTAAAAAGGCACAAGAATATACCAAAAAAAAAAAAGCAAAGAAAAAGAGTGATAGCTAGGTTCATTACCAGATCATGCTGGCAGCTTCAACCTCTCAAACCAACACATCATCAGAAAAACAATAAGGGATGAACCCGAAATGATGAATAAGGGTTTTTGCCTTTGCAGGAAATTAATCCCTATATAGGAAGGAAATAGAAGCAGAAAACTTTTTCATACACCTAAAGATATTTGATAAAGGAGGTGCAATGAGACATGCATGTTTTTAGGAATAAAATCCCTCGTGACTCTCCTCTCCAATCTATGTAAATGCACCTCTCCTTCTTGTACTGTGTCATAGAGGAGCATTTAATGGAGGTTTTTGGTCCTCCCTTACAGCTATTGACACTGACTTCTTGCCCCTCCAACCTCCTCTCTCTTAATGGTTTAACATGACTAAAACATATAAATTATATGAATAGGGGACCCGTGGGACCATTAAACAGATTAGAATAACAGAGTTTAACTCAAATTAAAATGAGTTTGTTTTTTCTTTTTTAAAATTGAATAATCTGAATAAAAAGAAATGGTCAACCCCCTTAAAGTCTCTTTGGAAACAAACACAACTACTGATCAAACCTACCCATTAATAAACCATATTTAAAAGTTGTGATTAAATTTGATTCTCTTGAGCAACAGAAGAGGGGTAATTAACTAAAGCACTTCTTTTTTTGTAAAACAAATAATTAGCTTATGCTTGTTTAGTTATGATTGGGCCAGGAAGAGCAGTTAGAGATTTTTCTTTCTTTTTGGGATAGAAGCAAGGGGTACAAGCTGACATTGATGGCTCAAATTAAGCATGCATGCTTGCTTTGTCGTCATGTAAAATTTCCTTTATCTATAGCAAGGAGCAGTTTTCTATATAGATGTTAATAAAATCAAAGATAAGTCTTTTTCTTGTGTTTAGTTTTTGTAACTGCAGAACATTAAACCGGCTCTAGATAAAGGCAATTGCCATGTGCTTAGTGACCTTTTAGTCCCTTCAAAAAATTAATACATTGTTAATCATTTATGTATGAACTATGAAGAGTATGTACTGGCCAAGTTAGTGGAATCAGGAGAGGAAGGGCATCCTTTTGTCTTTAGCTTTGGGTGGTCTCTTCTGTCTTTGGGGCTTTCCCTGGTTGACAAACAATGACATATAGACAAAGCCCTAATGGAAGGGGAAGGACCACACTTTTTTTTAATAATTTTTTAATAGTAGTGTCACATGGTTTTGCTTTGTAATTTACCTCAAAGAGTTGAATCTAATTTATTTGATTAAGTTAGGTGATGGGTGTTTGCGAATAAAGCAATATGTACATCAGACTTAATTTAATTAGGGTTTTCTTCTTTATATAAATATTTGATTAATTATTAAAAGGTTTTCTTGCTTCTTAGTTTTTTTTTCATTATTTTTGGTCCCACTTGTGCTGATAATACAGTTTATGTCTCTTTGAAGATAGGGTTTTCCCGTGCCTTATTGTTCCACGCATGAGTTTATCAAAATTTCTGTTCAAATGATGATGCATCACCTTTTTGAAGAGTTCTCTTATCTGTGATCATCATTTATCATCAATATGTAATGTGCAAATAGAAAAATGAACTTAATTACACCAGAGAAAATGACCCTTTTACTATAGGCGTGCCCATTTCATTTGAGGAAGAAGGTCATCCTCTCATGTGGGTTAAAAGTTAAAACCAGAGAATTAATCTGCAACATTTTTAATCCTGAAAACTAAGTTTTGATTAAGTTTATATATATATATCCACCAACTCACGTGGAAACAATTCTATAGGCCAGAAGGAATCTCCTAATCACTTCAATTCTATTGGCTTGATATATATCAGAAAACCTTTCTCCATTGTTTTTTTTTTTTTTTTTTTCTCTAAAATTACTAAAAACATAATGCCACTATTAATTACTTTTGCTCAGCCAACTTGCCACTGTGTGACAGTCAACTTTTCTAGTTTTTGCAAGTTATATATGTATAACAAGAATCAGAAGAACATTTACTGTAAATCATTCCATGTGTCTGGGAGAGTTGTTTGCTTTGTTTTCCTTTTTCAACTTGCTATTACAATTCAGTTTTCAATTTCCAAGTTGATATAGCAATGCCCATATTGGTTGAATTTCAATATTGGGAAATCAAGGTGGCTAGTTGCTCCTCTTGGAAACAAAGAAGGTGACAAAGGCCAGTACCACCAAGGAGACTGGGTAGCTTGTCTGCCCCTTTGACCTTTCTATATACAATTTTATTCATGGGAAAATGGGTTTTGTAGCTTGTCCTATATATCTGTCTCACTGGATGTGTTCAATATGTTAATCTTATCCTGTGGAAAGACAGACAGCTCTCTATTGTCTATCTTTGCTAATGGAATCTTTTAACTTCAATACCTTCCTGTATTAAAAAGTAAGAGCAATCGAACACGTAGATTTGTATGACTTGTTAACTCTATCATCACATCACAATTCACAATGGCTTAAATCTTGGAAGCATTTCATACATTAATCAGCGAGATTTGCAGATTTCAATTTTCTCTTCTAGGGTTTAGTGAGCAGAACACCTAAAAATACAAGTTTTTCTAGTACTGC